AACAGCATTATTATGACTAACTAAGCTTACATCCTAACCCCCCTTGCACCTGATTTCTAAAAGCGAGAAAGCATATTAAAGAAATAGAGAAAATGGCTGCATTTTCATTAATTGTCAGAGCGGGAACGTCCAATGTTAGCAGCGTTGACACTATACCTGCAAAATATTTAATGTAAAAGGCTACATTATCAATTGATCATTATTTGATCATTACTTGCACACAGACTTAAAAACCATAACCCAAACATATTGAAAACAAATAATTATATACTTTTCTGAATAACTAACTGAAAGCAATGATGTAAAGAAATAAAGTTAAAATTATTACAACAAACCCATCAATCATATTACCAGGAAGCCTATTTGTAGGTTGTCAGCTATACGGTCTCATTTTAATGAATGCAGGACTGTGTTAAAATCCAGTATATAAAAAAAGAAATACCATATTAAAAATAATATGCCTTTGTGCAGGATGAATCACATTTATTTGCATTACGCAGATTAGTACGTCAAACCAATTATTTTCCAGTTTTCTCAGAATTTAATAGAGCATGAAACAGAACCATGCAAGCTATATAGCAAGTTGGTGTCAGTAGCAAACAAAACTTGGTAGTAAATCATGTTCTGAATGCTACAAGCATTTAAGAGCAGGATCTTGCAGTCTTAAGTGTTCTTATTAAGGAGTAGCTTTAACTGAACTCAGATCAGTATTTACTTTAGGAATAAACTTCCACTGAAAACTAGAAGCTTTGCTATTTCAATACCATATCATTAAACCAATCTATAGGCAGAAATTTAATCAACTGGAGCTTATGAACCACATTTAATGAGACTATTTCAATCACAAGGAAATGCAAATTCCAAGCACATTACAAGTAGGTACAAACAGGTTATCCACATATATAGGTAGTCCTCAATTTATAATAGTTCATTTAGTGACCATTTGAATTACAACGGCACTGAAAGAAGTGACTCATGACCATTTTTCACACTTATAAACATTGCAGCACCCCCCCCATGGTCACGTGATCAAAATTCAGACACTTAGCAAATGACTCATATCTATGATGGTTGCAGTGTCCTAAGGTCACGTGATCACCTTTTGCAACCTTCTGACGAACAAAGTCAAGGGGGGGGAAGCCAGACTCGTTTAACAACCATGTTACCAACTTAACAACCGCAAGTAATTCACTTAACGACTGTGGTGAGAAACATCGTAAACTGGAGCAAAATTCACAAAGTTAACAACTGTCTCACTTAGCAACAGAAATTTTGGGCTCAATGGTGGTCTTAATTTGAGGACTCCCTGTATTAGCTGCTCCTATTTCATATCTCAATCAAAAAATAGGATCAACTAGGTAAACCGACTCTTCTTATTTCTATCAGCTTTACTCTCTACACCAGCGGTTCTCAACCTGTGGGTCGCGACCCCTTTGGGGGTTGAATGACCCTTTCACAGGGGTCATCTAGGACCATCAGAAAACACATATTTCCAATGGTCTTAGGAACCGAGACACCGTTCTGCATCCATCTCCACATGGCCTCCTCCGCCATTTGCAGAGAAAGCTTTTTTTTCTCTCTTTCTCTCAGGCGGACTTACCTCATGCAGGGCTCTTGATTGGCCCTGCGCCCGGGTGCCCCACCCCCTGGGAGAAGCGCGGCCAGGGCCTCATGGCCTTGGAGCCGCCTGAGGAAGCCCCGGGATCCCTGCTGGGAGCAGCCAACTGGAGGCTCTGCTGAGTGGGCCAGCCCTCCCGCAAGCCACATCCCAAGGGAGACCAGCCCCTGTGGATCCCAAGCCAGCCCAACCTTTGGCCCCGCTGGCCAGGAAGGCAGCGCGGAGTCCCGGTGGGGGTGGCGGCTGGGCTGGTGGCGGCAGGGACCCGACGATGCAGCCGTGCTGCCTCTGCCACCAGAGCCACTGCTTCCCATCCTGCTCCCCCTCCCCGCCCTTCGGCTGAGGATGTGGTGGAGGCCGGGCCGGGGGCGGTGGGGACCCCCACTGATGCTGCCGTAAGAGAGAGAAAGAGAGGAAAGAGAGAGAAATAGAGGAAAAAAGAGAGGAAAGAGAGAAAGAGAAAGAGGGAGGAAACAGAGAGAGGAAAGAGAAAGAGAGGAGAGAGAGAAAGAGGAAAGAGAAAGAGAGAGAGGAAAGAGAAACAGGAAAAGAGAAAGAAAGAGGGAGGAAAGAGAGAGAGGAAAGAGAGAGAGAAGAGAGAGACAGGAAAGAGGAAAGAGAGACAGATAGAGAGGAAAGAGAGATAGAGAAATGGAGAGAGGAAAGAGAAAAAGAGAGGAAATAGAAAAAGAGAGGGAAGAGGGAGAGAGAGGAAAGAGAAAAATAGAGGAAAGAGAGAAAGAAGGAAGAGAAAGAGAGGAAAGAGAGAGAAACAGGAAGAGAGAGAGGAAAGAGAGAAAGAGAAAGAGGGAGGAAATAGAGACAGAAAAAGAGAAAAGACAGAAAAGAGAGAGGAAAGAGAAAGAGAGGAAAGAGAGAGAGAAAGATGGAGAGGAATGGCGCTTCTCCAACCAGGCTGGGCGGAGCTGGCGGAGTGGCCTTCCTGCCCCTCCTCCCTGGCCAGCTGGATGGGGGGTTGGGGGTCACCACAACATGAGGAACTGTATTAAAGGATCGCAGCATTAGGAAGGTTGAGAACTACTGCTCTACATAATCCCAAAGCACATTCCTTTGGAGATTTGTTAATTTTCTTCAAAATTAGGTACTAATTCATTATATTCTAATTGACATCAAGTTACTTCCAAATAAATTTCCTTAAGGGTATAGCTTTATTGCTGCATATGCTCCTAAAAAGGTTTTGCTGAGGTTAGTTGGGCTTACGGCTTAATAAAGCTGCCATTGAACCATTAAATCCAGTGTCGGGTTTATTTCTGTACAATCATAATGTCAGGCTAGAAGTCTACTTATATTACTTTTACCTAAATATGTTCATGTGATAATCTCATCTACTGTGTTTTATACTGACACATTCAATCATAAACTACCCACAGATCTGTACATCAAATGCTAAATTGTTGTTGGCTACTTTACAGTTTAATGTATTATGCAAAGAGCAATTGTGTTGGACAAAAAGCATGGCAAAACATGGTTCCACTGGGAATTCGATAAACCACAAATGTTTTGGCTTCCATAACTCACTAAATCACAAAATATGGCTAGCAAACCACCATTGATAGATTCTCAAAATGCAACAAACCGAAGAAAAATTTAATTCCACTGTGGTTTGGCATGTTGAGTGAACCCAACTAATCAAAATGCCTATCAAAAAATGCCCAGGATCAGAGCGGATGGCCCAAAGTTGCAGAACTAAACCTATAACCAAAGCTTCCCCAGGAAGATTTTTCTGCAGCTCCTGTAAAAGTGAAACAAAAAATTCACCTTTACTGCAGCAGGAATTCTTTATGCGCAAAAATGGAAAGATTGATCCATCCTCACACAGAAAGAATGGATGGAAAAAGTAATGGAGCTAGGAAATATGGCAAAATTAATTATTTTAATTAAAGAATATATCTAGTTTTGTTTCTATTGGGAAATTGTTTCTAAACTTTGTGCTGGGGGGGGGGAATGAAACCTTGACTTTGGGATTTGCCTATTCATTTGTTGTTACAGTATGTAAAAGTAAAAACCAGAGGCTGTAATTATATTCTTTATCCTATTATGCTGAAAAAGTTGGAAGTCTATGCTTTTCTTTTTCTCTTTTATCCTGCATTTTTCTTTTCCCATTTTCCCCTATTATATTTATAAAAATGAAAATTTGTATTTTAAATAAAAAATAAAGGTGACACCGGGTAATTGGCATGGACCAGTTCAAGGTTGGTTAAACGAACAAAAACCATAAGAGGACATGTTCCTATTATTTGTTTGTTTTAGCGGAGTGATTATGATGGTAATTGTATGCTATTTGGAGTATCGGATTTAAATAGCAAGCCTTTTTTTCCCCATCCATAGTACCTACCGTAATCCTTAGTCTATACTACAGTAGGTGGCAGCACCTACCCAACCTTGGCTGATCTCAAGAAAGCTGTGCAGCGCCAGCCTTGCTCAATATTTTTGATGGAAGACCACTAAGAAACCCCAGGATATAAATTAGTCGAAAGATATCCTGGAGGAGTCCAGCAGCCAACTACTTCTGAACGGTTGCTAAGAAAGGACCTTTATTTTCTTGTAGGGAAATCGGGAGTTAACCTCTGGAAAACCAAGCTCAGATCAGTTTAGCGGACTGTTTTCTTTCCCGAATTCTCTTGCACAACCGCGCCTCGGGTTGGCCAAGAGTTTCAAGTAATCTCAGCGCCCGATTAAGGCCAGAAGTCGTGGCAGAGCATTTAGGGCGCCTTTCCTCTCTAATCGAATCTAATTTTCTACGGTGTGCTGGACAATTCCCACCCTACTGTCCGGATTCGCCGAGCGCCAAGTCGCGGAAGGCTACAAGGACGCGTTTTAAAACCAGAAGCAGTTTGTTAAAAGTCGGGGGTGCACTGCCTCCATCTATCCACACAAAGAGGGAACTTCAAACCCTACTCTCTTCAAAGTCTTCGCAAGAAAGCCCTCGGACCTCCCTCTATTCAAAAGAGTTCCGCCGCCTGCATTTGCGGGTGGGGAGGGGGTGCAGCTCTTAAGAATCTACACCTTCTCTCCTTTTTTTCCTCCTTCTCACGACCAGGTCAGCCCATTCTAGGAACGGGGGAAATACGATCCAGCCCCACTGTACCAAAGCGCAGGCTGCAAACGCTGCTATATATATAAATGTTGTGGCTGCCTCGGAAGAGCTGCGGCTGCAGCAGCAGCAGCAAACATCAGCAGCGTTGCGCGCGCCCTCCTGGCGACTTGGTCCCGGAACGTCGCGCGCCGCTATTGCGTAGCCCTTGCGAGGGAGTGAGCGCGCGCACGCCTCGCCTGGAGTTCTTCCAACTTTCCGCCCACCAATTACGGTCTTCGCCTCTTCCCTCCCCCCCTCCCATCCCTCGGGATCGGCTGCATTTACCTTAAAAAGGAAGGAGGCCGGACGCTGTACGGCGACACTGGGCTCTCCGGGGAAGGGGGGGGAGCAGAGGAAAGGGGTTTCAGCAGCCGTAAAGCGGGGAGGGAGATGCGCTTTTCCCCTTGCTCACTCTTCCGCCCCCGCTGCACCTCCTGCGGCTGCCCCGTGCTTATTACAGAGGATCGAATTGGGAGGAGCAGCCCAGCAGCGGCGAGGGCCGAGCGGCAGCGGGAAGCTTCCTCAGAAAGCCGGGAGAAGGGCGAGCTGAAAAGCAAGGAGGGGAAAGGCTTGCGGAGCAAAGCGGAGGCCGGAGCAAGGGAAAGATGTCCCAAGTAACAAAGCTGGTTCCTGAACATGGAAAATGTTGATTCTGAACTTGGGAATTTTCGGGGGACTTGATCAGAGGGACGGGATGGGTGGGATTTTATTTATTTATATCCCACCTTTAATTTTACTTATTTTATTTTGTATTATTTTATATTTTTTCATTTTGCATTTTATACCTTTTATTTTCAATTTTTTCGTTTTATTTTTAATTTTAATTTAATTTTTTTTAAATGTTATTGATTGATTTATAAACATGGCTTCTTTAAGGGAACGCTCTAAACCAGGGGTCCCCAACCTCTGGGCTGCAGCCCACAGGCGGGCCTTGAGCCTTTTGGAACTGGGTCTCAGAAGTGGCAGGTGAGGGTGCCTACAAATAAAGCTGCATGTCTGCTCACCCGCAAAAAGCACAAAACCATCCCTCCTCCCCCCCATCCCCAAAAGATTGGGGAACTCTGCTCTAAACAAAGTGTGTCTTTGCTCTGAAACATCCTTACCTGTATTGGATCCACACAGCTGTAGCACAGAGTCCCATTCGGAATGGTAAAAGAGAAGATTTTTTTATTATTATTATTGTTGGTTACAAAGTCATCTAGATGTTTAGACTAGTTTTAGCATTTTTGTCCATCAAGTCCTTTCCAGGACCTGGGATAAGCAGATGGTCTGTTTGATATTATTATCAGAGCAACAAATACAGCAAATGGTCTGGAAATTAAAACATATGAGGAATGGTTGAGGGTATTAGCTATGTCTGGCCTACTGAAGAGTAGAATTGAGGGGGGGCATGAAAACTGTCTTCCAGTACATGAGGGACTGTCGTAGAGGAGAGAGAGTTGACTTATTCTCCAAAGCTGAGGAAGGCAGGAAAAGTAATAGCTGGAAGCCTGTTAATGAGAGATCCAATCTAGAAGCAAGGAGAAATTTTCTGAGTGAGAAGAATTAATGGACGCTTGCCTCCTGGAGTTGTGGGTGCTCCACCACTGGAGGTTTTCAAAACTAGACTGAAGAACCATTTGACTGGGATAATATAAGACATAAGTGTTATGTCCCGAGCCTTGCAAACGGCTCGGGCGTTTGCAGGCAGTCCCGGGCAGGTGCAAAGCTGCCCGGGACCAGACAGGCTGTCGCCAGCGCCGTGCGCATGCGCGGGTGCTGGCGCGGGAAAAGTAACACATTTACCCGGGAAGCGTCTATATAAGAAGCTGGGAGGTTTTGGGAGCTGCTGAAGCCATCTACTTGTAAGCTGAACGCTGAATAAAGGAAACTGAGAACTTCAACTGCTTCTCGTGTCTGCTTCCCGCCAAGGACTCAACACTGGCGACGAAGGTGGGATGCCTTGCACTACCTGGAAAGGAAGAAGTGTAAGCTTACCCAAGGAGTCCTGAGCGGCGGAAAGGAACGGCGTCGACTCGGCAGCTGCCCGCCAATCCGGTGCGCATTCGGGGGTAGGCTGGCTGATAGACCCGTCTCCTGAAGATTTGAAGATGGCGAAAATCGGAAGGCTTTCGGAATTCGACATCTCACATCCAGAGCGGTGGGAGTCATACGTAGCCAGGGTGGAGAACTACTTCAAGGCAAACCAAGTGAGGGAAGAGAGCTTGAAGGCTGCCACCCTGCTTTGTGTTTGCGGTCAAGACGCCTTCGACATCGCAGAAAACCTTGCAGCACCTGTTCCAGTAGAGTCTGTCAGCTACGCAGATCTGAAGAAGCTACTGAAAGAGCACTTCCACCCCAAGATGTCCGTCATCGCATGGCGCCACACCTTCGAGCAGAGGGATCAACGGCCCGGTGAGTCGGCCAAAGAATTCATCGCCGCATTACGGAAGGCCGCCAAGCACTGCGAGTTCAAAGACCTCGAAGAACGACTGAGGGACCGATTCGTGTGCGGGTTAAGGCATCGAGATCTACAACAGAGACTTTTCGCTAAAGAAGAACTGTCCTACCAAGATGCCTTAAGGGAAGTCACCGCAGAAGAAGCAGCAGGCGGCGCTATCAAGAACATGCGGCCGATCAGAAACAGTCCAGAGGTTGCATCCGTGCACCAGGAAGACGCCCAAAGGAACTCCGAGGAGGATCCGGATGAGGAAGTCGACCGTCTCCACCCCACGACGGAAGAAAAACAGAAGGGAAGCTCTTCAGCTCCGCTCAAGAGCATCGGCTGTGGAAGTCGCCACAGGAGAACCGACTGCAAGTTCCGCTCCGCTACCTGCCAGGCATGCGGCAAACAAGGACACATTGCAGCTGTGTGTCTGGGCCGACGAAAGGTACAACCTCAGGAAGAACCGCGCCTGAAAGGTACCAGATTCCCCAGCCAGAATAGGGTAGGGTTTTGCGCTTCGCGAAGAAGCATCCTTAGGACAGGCACACACAAGCCAATTAAGAAAAAGCTGTCACTCAAGGTGAAGCTACAAGGGGTTCCATTATCTATGGAACTAGACACAGGGTCTGCCTTTTCAATTATCTCCTTGCATACATTTGGAAGATTTGTTCCGGTAGTGGAACTCAGGCCAAGTTAAGGCCTTCTGACATTGTGTTAACAGATTTTCAAAATTCAAGAGTGTGTGTTAAGGGGGAGGCCACCCTTAACGTGCAATACAAGAGTTTTGAAGGTCCACTAGACTTATTAGTAGTAGGGGGTGAACGAACGAGTCTCATAGGACTCGATTGGTTTGAGGCCCTGGGGATACACGTCACAGGACTCAACAGTTTACAAACACTCGACCTACAGGAAGTCTGCAAAGAATTTGCAGATGTTTTCAGCCCCCAGCTGGGCACATTCAAAGGACCCCCTGTGTCCTTAAAGCTAGACCCCACTGTCACTCCCATTAGAATTAAAGCAAGAAGGGTCCCTTTTGCTTTAAAGAGTAAAATTGACACTGAGTTAGACAAACTGATTCAACAGGGAATCCTAGAACCTGTTGATTCCAGTCCTTGGGAGACCCCCATTGTCACGCCTCTAAAGGCAAATGGGGACATTCGCATTTGTGCTGACTACAAATGCACTCTGAATAAGGCATTGCAGCAACATGCCTATCCTGTTCCTGTGGTCAGTCATATTCTGGCCTCCCTCAAGGGGGGGCGCGTTTTTGCAAAGCTTGACCTAGCTCAAGCGTATCAACAGCTGCCTGTTGATGATGATGCTGCTATAGCTCAGACTATTGTGACCCACAGGGGAGCCTTTAAGGTAAAAAGGCTGCAGTTTGGAGTGAATGTCGCTCCTGGGATTTTCCAAAGCGTAATGGAAAACACACTACGGGGTATACCAGGGGTTTGCCCCTACTTTGATGATGTCTTAATTGCAGGAGACTCCACACACATTCTAGCTGAAAGGCTAAGGGCTGTTCTGTTAAGATTCAGGAAGTCAGGCCTCAAGCTCAAAAAAGACAAATGCAAGATTGGGGTGCCTTCTACTGAATTTCTGGGGTTCAAAATTGATGCTGCTGGGATTCACCCTGCTGAATCCAAACTGACAGCTATTTTAGAAGCACCTAGGCCAAAGTCCAAGGCCGAACTTCAGGCCTTCCTGGGCCTCCTGAATTTCTACAATTCTTTTCTTCCACATAAAGCTAGTGTAGCTGAGCCTCTTCACAGGCTACTAGACAAACAAGCAGTGTGGCAGTGGTCACATACACATGAGGCTTGCTTTAACAAAGTCAAGGCCTTGCTCACTTCTAACAGTGTACTTGCACATTTCAACGAATCTCTTCCTGTGTGCATCGCATGTGATGCGTCCCCTTACGGGGTAGGAGCTGTCCTGAGCCACCTCAGGTCTGATGGAACTCAGGTTCCTGTTGCATATTACTCCAGAACATTGTCTTCTGCTGAGCGCAACTACGCTCAGATAGACAGGGAGGCTCTGGCTGTTGTCGCTGGAATTAAAAAATTCCACGATTTTCTCTATGGCAGGCATTTCACGGTCTTTACTGACCATAAGCCTCTGCTGGGACTGTTTACCACACGTAAGCAGACTCCCCAAATCATTTCCCCTAGAATGCTTAGGTGGTCTATTTTTCTGTCTGCATATGATTTTTCTTTACTCCACAAGCCTGGGAAAGAAATGGGCCATGCTGATGGCCTCAGTAGATTGCCTCTGCCAGTAGTAGAAGCTGACCCTGCGCCAGCTGTCAACATTCTATCAATCCAAGCCTTGCCCGAGCTCCCTCTTTGTGCCAGGGATGTTGCCGCTGAAACAGGTACAGATCACACACTTTCACGTGTCCGTTCCTGGGTTTTGTCCGGTTGGCCTGAGCACTGCCCTAGTCCTGAGTTTCAGAGTTTCTGGTCCAAAAGAAACGAGTTGTCCCTTTCTCAGGGTTGTCTGCTTTGGGGAAACAGAGTTGTCATTCCCTCCTCAATGAGGACTAGGGTCTTAGAATCCCTCCACGAGGGTCATCCTGGCATTGTTCGTATGAAGGCTCTTGCACGCAGCCACTTGTGGTGGCCTGTTTTAGATAAGGATATTGAGGCTCAGGTGCATGCATGCCACCTGTGCCAACGATCTCGCCCAGAGATGCCTCAAGCTCCCGTGCATAAATGGGAGGAAACGCAGTCCCCATGGTCTAGGGTGCACATTGACTACGCTGGGCCCTTTCAGGGCCAGTTCTTCTTGGTCCTTGTTGACAGCCATTCAAAATGGCTTGAGGTTGTACCTGTCTCTTCCACCACCACTGCAAAGACTATTCAGGTACTGAGGGGGATTTTTGCTGCACACGGGCTTCCAGATGTCATCGTGTCTGACAACGGCCCTCAATTCACTTCCTCCGAATTCCAAGCTTTCTTACAGGCTAACATGATTCGTCATGCCACGTCTGCACCCTTCCACCCGTCCACCAACGGTATGGCTGAACGTATGGTGCGCATCACAAAGGACGCCTTGAAAAGACTCACCTACGGGGACTGGCATCACAGGTTGGCTGACTTTCTCCTTTCTTATCGCACCACTCCGTCCACTTCTACAGGGAGAAGCCCAGCTGAACTTCGCTGGGGGCGTCAACTTACTACTAAACTTGACCGGTTGCATCCGGACAGACTGCCTTCATCTACCTCACATCCTAGGGCACCTAGACAACTGCTTGTGGGTGCCCCGGTTTGGGCTCGCAATTACGGGCCTGGTCATACCTGGGTCCCCGCTTCTATTTCCAGGGTCACAGGTCCTCTCTCCTACGAGGTTGCCCTGGACAACGGTCGTGTCCTGCGTCGGCACATCGACCAACTCCGCCCTAGGCGGGACTTTTCAGATGAGACTCCTGGGTCTTTTCCAGGGGGGGAGGGGGACCCTTTGGAGCAAAGGGAAGGGCACGAGCTGCTGCCCATCTCCACTGATGGAGCCACAAACGGCCCATCCCAGGGTTCCGCAATTGCTCCGAAAAGGAATTCATGGAGCTTACCCACACAACAGGCACTCACGCCTACTCCAGCCAGGGAGTCACCCCGGGGGCATACTCACCTTCCACACACATCACACAGCACTCCAGTCACGGAGGATACCCGGGGGCATCCC